AAATCACGTTTGTCCGTTTTATGTTTAACAATCGGCTTTTTTGAGGAGGAAAGTCATCAAATGACTTCTCCCGCCTTAGGTGAGGCGACAGGGAGTGTCAGACTCTTCCTGAGTTAAAACTACTAGTTTCTACTCCTGATTTGAGCCGGAGCTCCGATAACCCGCTAGGTCGTCTACAGTCCTAGCTGGGTATCAGCCCTACTGGGCCACATTTGTGGTGATCTGATGGCTCTTTGAAGCGCCCGATTATGACTCATCAAGCTTGATAATTCATAAATATACTTATTGAATTGTAGGTGCATACGGTGACTACTACCGTCTGTTGACTCCTGGACACTACGAAGTGACGGCGAGTCACCCCGGCTACTTCCCAGTGTCGCGCGTCGCTACTGTGCCACGCCACCAGAGCTCTGCACATATCCTCAACTTTAAACTGGAGGTGAGATTATTATTATTGGTATTATACAAACTAAGGCACTAAAGATTTATAGGACATACATATGTAGGTACACTTTTTATAAAGAAACTGACGTCGTTACATAAAATGGTTTTCTTTTTCTTATATTCTGCCAGTTTTGTCTATACTTTTGCTAGAATAACAAATTCGATAACGCTTAGATATTTCACAGCAAAAGATTGAACATAACTTATATGGGTGTACTACGCCAAATCGAATGCCAAATAAACGAATACTTATCAGTTGATAGGCCAATATAGATCGAAAGCTTAAATACTCAAAGTTCATAAATCATAACATTTGATTACGCTTATAATCGAACATTCAAATTATGGAATGTTGGTTTAATCGAACTTCTAAAAATTAAATTTTTCATGAAATTACAGATAAAATATGATTTTCTTCTATATTGATAGAAATGAATGATACTTCACTTAATCACTTTAATTACATAATATTATGATTTTATACATTTTATTTTATTATGGAGTAATTTTATTATTTAGGAACATGTCATGTCAGGTAGATATAAGCGTAATAAGGTAGTACTTCAGTACTAATAATAATGCGGTCGTAAAATGGGGTTGAAAACAGTCAACCCCGAATTTAATTACTTGGGACATGTGTGCTCACAATGTGCGACATGACGTCACACACCTGCGTCAGATGAAAGCTTCCAGCTACGGCTTGACGTAAGCCCATCGTCCTACGCACGATTAAAAATAAATGAATGTCAGATTAATGTGACCTGTCGTAAAACCTATTGCGATGTAAGGTTATACGTGTTACGTGGTAACAAGAGTTTGGAGGACAGGAAAAGATACAATCACTCATTGTTGCTAACATAATATCGCCCTTATGTGATCGAAATAAGCCCCTGAATATAGTTCCAGGAACGTGCAATGGATTGCATAAACCAAATATTGACGACTTTAAAACCATTATCCCAAATCAAGATACCTATAAGGAAGGCTACCGTTATGATTTGACTCTGTGACAGATGCCCATTCGATTCACGTTTGTTATCAAACAGAATACTCTCTGCACAATGACGCTATCGATTTAAATTCGCAGTATACTTGTACCTATAGATAGTGTATACTTACATATTGATAAAACGGTCATTCGGAGCCGATAACACTATCACTTTATGTGCCATCCGTTGACCTTAAAATCTGTACCCACAAATATAGCTAGAAAGGGTTTTTGTATAGTACACAGTTTTCACAGTATTTATTCCGTAAATTGTTCAAGCCTCCCTTTTTTTTTTAACGGGGGAATAACATCGAATGACTGCTCCCACCTGGGTGAGGCGGGAGGGAGTGTCAGACTCTTACTGACTAAAAACCACCCCGTTCCTTCTCCTGCACGTCGAGCCGGAGCCCCGGTTACCCGTTAGGTTCTCCGCGACTCCGAATCGGCATTGGGCCCCATCTGTGGTGGTCTGATGGCTCTTTGAGGCGCGCGCGGAACGCAGCGCGCCGTACGCTCGGGTCTGTTTCTGGTCGGGAGCCACCCATGCTCGCCGCGGCCCGCGCTTACGGTGGCCGGAGATCGTCCCGCGATCCCCGACGCCCGGTGTGTCCTTCGCGATGGCTGGGTTGCGAGGAGGCAGTGCTTCGCTGCCTCACGCGTCCCGCCTCCTCCTTAGCTAGCATGACTGCATCGCAAAAGGAGGAGACGGCATCCCAATCCCCCTCGCTCCGCATCATGGCCTGCACTAGGCCCGGACGCGAGAGGTCGCCATCGCCGATCACTTCCCTGAGGGCACGGCGGTGCTCAGCCCACGCAGGGCATTCTCCCACCGTGTGTTCCACCGTGTCCTCAGGGCGGTCCTCGCAGTGATGACACCCGGGCGTTTCCTCCCGCCCCATCAGACACAGGTACCTCCCGAAACTCCCATGTCCGGTGAGGACCTGCGTCAGGCGGTAGGTGAGGACGCCGTAGCGTCTCTCAAGCCACTCCTCAAAGAGGGGACTTACCGCTGCGATGGCAGCGAGCCCAGCCCTCGGTTTAGTTATTTACGTATAGGGTTACAATGTGTACATCCTACTTGTTGCTGCTATTGTAATGTAGTAGGCGTTTAAACATTTGACATCGCCGATTTCTTCATGATCAAATTCATATTCAAGTAGTTTTCAACCTACGATACTCATTCACACTAAAAGTTCTTAAAATGAAATTCGGTAAAGCTATGCCTATACGCTGCCAGCAAGAGCAACACAGCAATTGTCTATGTATTTAATAGAAGGTCGAAAGGTATCGGATTCCTAATCCACGGATAACCGTGGTCACGTAAACCGTACAATATTGTCGGTAAATCTCATTAGGTAACGTAAATAGGTAATTAATCCACTATGATTAAATTAAATTTAAAGGAAGCTTTATTAGATTTGTTTTACGTGGACAACACAAAATATTTACTCAAGTAGTAGATTGTGCATAGTAATATCAAGATGATTTATAAATGATTAAGATTCAAGGTTTAAGGTACCTACTCTGGAATGTAGGTATAGTTTATCTGTAGCCTAACTATTTACGTATATCTGTATCATGTCATTATTAATATGAAGTGAAAACTTTAAGTCGTGCATATTCTTGAAGTTTCCGTAAACGTACAACGAATTATTTGTTCTTATTTTTTAAGGAGGGAGTTTTAACTCATTTTACTCATTGTTTTACAACATGTTCTATGTTAGTCGTACTCAGACCAAATTTTTAAGTTTAGTACTTTGACACCTAACGGGAGGTCTTTTTCATTTATTTACGTCCTTTTTATTAATTGTTTTAGTTTAGAATTGTGATTTTTAATTTTATAAATATGTAAATTTTTACTTTTCAGCCTACCACAAGCTGGTTCGATGACGATACCACTTTCGGAATGTACCCACACGGACTGCGCGATGGTCAGCCCAGGATATACAAACGATCTCTATATGAACAAGTGGCCAAATCAATTCTGGAGAAGAAAGAACCGGAGAAACAATAATTATCCCACCGCAATATAAAACATGGCAACAGGCAATTATGTAAAAATATTTATCTATGTATGACGTATGTATATAGCTTGTTTAGATTGAAGGGAAGGAAACACGTTTATAGAAAATGTTGAAGTACTTTTTGTTATACCGTATACACTCGATAATTTTGTGCCTAGCATAAATTTAAATTACTCTAATGAAAATGTAATTTCGTGCCATAGAATGCTGGATCTGTTTATATTAGGGTGCTCGCTCTGAAAGACTAAATAAGAAGGAACTTTAGAAAATGAGATGAATAAGAAAAATGCATAGTTTCAGCACTATTTTAAAGATTTACGTCACATAATGCAGTAAAAAGTGGATCACAATGCTATAAAACGGCGCAGTTTACGTTTTATATTTGATCTATCTTTATGTACATTCCAAAGTATGCTGGTTGCGGGTACCCTTAAAAACATATAATTAATTATAGTAAAAATAATAATTTCGTTTGTATTAGGACTTAGGCCTACTACCAATGAATGTTTAGTTACTGTAAGTGATTTTCATTATAAAATATGAGTAAATATGATAATCAATTATTTGTGTACCTATATTTTTGTTTTTGAATATTTATCTAGCGTCTTATTCTGTCTAAGATAGTACACTTCGTTAGTTACCAATAAAACTTATATTTTTAGATCTGTGTAAACTTAATGTTTCGTAGTTATTGTTGCACATGACCAGGAACTTTCTAGTCCAATTTTATAGTCCTTTTCAAGTGTACGTAACTTAAGAACGTTTTTTGAAAATATTATAATAATACCAAATTGTAAAATAATTACTGTGACGTTAAAATGTTTGATAGTTTCCATTGTTTCTATAGTTTATATTGACAAATTTTGACAATTTGTATAAATTATGTACATCTTCATGTTCTATAGTTGATATTTTAATATTATATGGTATAAAAATTATGCATAATCTTTAAATGAAATCACGAAAGTATGTATATTAGACACAACAATAAAGTATGATCAGTGTGCAATGTCTGGCTTTTATTTATCGGCTTCATTCATAATACATACCACATTTGCACTACCACTTGATATTTAAATAGGTTAAGAGAAGATACACCTACATTTATTTTTATTGGAGCGTCCATTTCAAAAGCTAATATCGATAGGTAAAAGCTGCACTCTAGACGCTAGTTTGTGAAAGAAATATCGAGTACAATTTGTTTTGAGATATAGTGCATAAGACTACACACCTTAAATTTATGAATGTTGAAGAAGTCGGGAAGTAAAGTATCTATTTATTTTATTAAATACTAAATACCTGTTACCCGCGCTTCGTCCGCGTAGAATATGATTCCTGTTTTAACCCATGGGAACATTTAATCGGGTTAAAAAGTATCCTATCACCTAAGTCAGCCCTGCCTGTATACCAAATTTCATCAAAATTCGTTCAGTAGTTTCAGCGTAATTGACAGACGAACATACAAACAAAGAAACTTACAATACTAGTGTGACAACACTACTAGCAGTTTATCAGTTAACCGACAGTTACAAGTAAAAAACAAATCAGTGTTAAAAGAATTTATTGGTTTCACACTCAATTACACTTTTATTATAGCGTAAGTTCGGAACTTATAGTATATTCACACAGACACATTCCTTTTTTTAATACTTCTACTCAAAAATTCGTACTCATAAAATACATGTCCATTTTCAAGTGCTAACTCATAGCCACATAATGGATACTCTCGCTTAAAACTAATAATTCACTTCATTAATATCCTAATTACGTTTAAGCAATTTACACTATTATTTAAATATTATTTCACAGTGATGATGTGGTATTTGTTTTAATTACTATCTAGGTATATATAACTAAGGTTTAAATAGAAATAATCGATTCTTCTAAAACGAGTCGATTAAGCGCTATTTGAACCTTTATCTATCAGTAGGCTCTTAAAAAAAAGAAAGTATTTTTTAAGAGCATACCTACACAATATTCGTAGCTAATATATTTTTTTTAAGGACAGTGACATAAAGTACGTTGATTTTTTACATTATTTTACTGTCTACAACATTGCGGAGTTTAAGTCAGTGCGTCATAAAAGCACAATTATTAAATGCCTAACAATAGTTCTACAAATAAATGTACAAACACAACCTTAAACATAGATTAAGTTTTACTTAGTTAGGACCTAATTTTCATTATTTTATTCTATAATAATTAATATGAATTTAAATAATTGACACATGAATTTGGACGGATTCGTTGTATCGATTCAGGTATACAATTAACAATAATATCATAAAATATTGCCTATAATCTTACAAACCATATAAGGTACATGCATATAAAATGGCACAAGTTAAATTCATCTGAACGATTGAACGTATTTCTTTTATAAAGGTAACATCGCTGGTCTAGTAAATTGTTTATTATTTGAGATTCAAAGCACCATTACTATTACGTTGTTGTTAAGTAGATAATGTAGTTTAATTTAAGTTAGAATATATACTTACATATCCAAAGAGATAATACAAACGGTCAGTTTTGGTAAATCGACTAAGATGATATCTAAATAATGTTCGTTCCTACGTTCGTAGGTTTCGTTAATGCCTCCGCTTGCATTTGTTTCTTATCTGCAAGAACAAACAAAAAATATTAGTTCATCTTCATTAGTACGCAGTTTTTAGGAAATTGTCAGTACCTAACTGGATACTAAAAACTTATACAAACTTATAGATATAAAAGGATCATTTAATTTTGAAATAAGACTACTAAAGTGAACTGACTCTAATAAGTTCGTTATAGTTCTATTAGGTTATGCAGTAATTTGAATGACAATATAATTTACCTGATTAATGTCTATTTCGGTGCATGCCGGAATGTCGACTGCCCGGCCTTGATTGCACTATCGCGTAGTGGTCACTGTTGTCCGAAACGGACCTGAGAAATAGATCAGAAATTAATTCCTACTATACAATTAACGAAGTACTGAACTAGATATCAGTGATTAATTTCATTAAACTAGGAATAGTAAAATGAATGCCAGTTTTGGACCACGATTTCATTCGCGCTTTCTTCTCGATCTTGAAAACTTCATAATCCTCCCTTTAAATAAGTTCTTCAACTATAGGTATTCCGCAAGTATGATACCTACGTTTGGGGATTTGTAATGTAACTAACAGACATTGAAAATTAAAGTTCCTTACATCCAGGTTTTATGATTGTCGTGACTTACCTTGCTGAGTGAATAGTTGAGGATGGGTATCGGCTTCCATATTGACTGCCGTGCCAACTGCGGTACGGGTCGTAGTCCTCCACCACTGATGGGTCCTTCTCAATCACCTGGAAATAAATAATACGTAATGTTTTGTTTATTATAACTGTGACATTCTTTGTACTTCATTGGCCGAGTGGTCGCAAGTGTGACTGCCGGGCAAGGAGTCTCGGGATCGATTCCCGGATTTTCTTGATTATCTGGTTGTATTAAGTGAATCAACATCAACAGCCTATAAGTGGCTACGTCTGACCAAAGGCCTCTTCTTACATGGAGAAGGTTGGAGCATTAATCGCCACGCTTGTTCAATGCGGGTGAATACTAACATCGGTTCTCGCGCATGAGCACGTCATGGCGGTGCAGAGGAAGCAGTTGACAAGTAGCATCACGATGAACATGACACCGAGCGCGATGGCCAAGTACAGCAGCCAGAGAGGACGCACGCTGCCGTCCGAACACGCTAGTGCTGCCACTGGAAAACAAGTGATTCCATCAGTTTACTAAAATTCGTCATTAAATCATTATCGTCTCTCTATTGACTGACGTGTTGAGTCATGCAGAAAATTAAAAGATAATTCAAAATTATGTCCTTATGCCTAATTATTTTATTATAACACTAGCAAACCCGGCGAACTCCGTTTCGCTACCAGTTGACTTCGTTTTATGTAACATTTCGTTTGGTGATGAAATGAACATGAAGAATTTTTTTTTGTTTTATATTTTATAAACCTCACGGAGCCCGAGACCTTTCCAATGAATGCAAAACCGTGGAAATCAGTTCGTGCGTTCTGGAATTATAGCGTCAGAAAGGAAAACCCAACTTATTTTTATATAGTAGATTAATTTGCCACATCAATTTCTCTTTTCAAGGTGCATCAATGGTCATGTTTTTGAAGTAAGCAATCGTTGTCTAACGATTTGGTGGTTATCTAAGCGTGGGTGCACAAGGTCAACAAAACTTCATTACCTTTATTTTCCTACTGAGTTGCATAATATTACGTGACATTGACTTACTTATGGACGGTTCTATGTTGTGTCTACTGATTAGACACCAAATGTATTTCCAGAAGTAAAACTTATGCCAATTGCTTGTTATTTGAAGGAATGATATCGACAAAATATTTGTATGCGCTTAACTTCTGAATGATTGCATAAATTGGTTAAGTCTGTGCCGTCTTAACCTATCTGCTGTCAGAAGGTCAGAATAAAGCTTTTTTTTAGAGAAAAGAACTTACAATTAGTGTTGTGTTTGGTCGTCGTGTGAGTGTGGTTATCGGAGGCCTAATTACCCCTCTCCCCAATCTCCCTAATCCCCGAATCCTTAATGTCCTAATCCCTAAAAGGCCATAACGCACTTTTAACTCCTTTGGTGAAAAAAAATACCACCGGTGTGAAGGTGCGACGGGTTATTCGTAAAAAAAATTATATTGGTTTTCTTTACCTCCATTGTCATTGGGGTCCAGCACGAATATACCGGTGGACGCGGTGACTGTGCTCTCCTCATCGCCTTTCTCGTAACGTGCCTCCGTACTGCAGTCGATTACAGAACACGTGCCTGGAATTACACGGAGACAGAATTAGCACAAAGTTGGTAACGGTCGGATGAGAATTAGAAAAATCAAAACAATTAATATTCAATTATTCCTGTTAATAAGAAAGTGTTACGTTACGTACACGTTAGGTAGAAATTCTCTATAAAGAGGAATATGTATTATTTACCTTTGCAAATAGCGATATCGCATTGAAAGTTGACTTGTGAGGAGTCCGGAAACCGGAACATGGACGCTATCGCGAGCTCGGCCGCACCCGTCTCGGACTTCACTACAAGGGACTGTTGCTTCATAGGACATCTGTAAATATAGCCCATGTTTATAGACATTCAATCACAAAAGATACGCTCTGAATTACACTACTTATTGTTCACACTCACCCTCTATTGTCTAGAAGATCAGCTGTATAATTCCGCATGTTGAAAGCAAAACAATTCTTCAAACGTATTCCGTGTGCTCCTACAATAGTAAATATTACGTATTACGTTAATGTTGCAATACATTGTTAATGAAAATAAGAATTTACGAAATAATGATAGCGATCTAACCATCAGGCTTGCTGATTTCGGCTCTGAGCGTGTACGGAAGACCAAACGCCGCATTCAATACTTTTCGACCTTGTGAGTCCAACATTCGCAGCGATACGAGCGAAGTTTCATTTCTGTGAAAACATAAAGTCTTACATTAGTCATTTACGCATATTATGAATGCTTAATATATGCTTTGACTCTTGCCTTAACAATCAATATTTTTATATTGCCTAGGTACCTTTTGTTGAAAAAGAAGTCGGTTAATAAGAAGCCATGTTCACTAAGAGTTATCTACTAACAAAGTAATAAAATAGTTTATTGCATTGTTTGCTAGATGTAAAAAAACATGTTGAATAATTTTACAATCATCAAGTTATGGGTTTCTATGAACGAACATTAACTTCGATTCATACTACATACAATTATCTGGTACTGAAATCATCTGCATCCTTAGGTTTAGGATACCTACTATTCGCGTATCACTTATATTCTCTAAACATTGGTGCATTCCAGCTGAAATTCGGAACTTAAAACCTATATTCTATTCAAACAAAGCTAAGATTTAGATAGAGCGACTTCTATCTGTGTTTGCCAAAATGTAGGTCAGAATAGTGATTTGTTACAACGGATTTAAATATAAAATGTGTTCAAGTACCGAGCATTTCTGAATCCTGCCTTGCCGCAAGTGATTACGTAGAATTTGTCATCGGCCAACTCTAAGGTTCGGTGCACACGAACCGCTAGCGGCAACGAGCGTTCGTCTGTGCGCTGAAATGTGCATGGGTTATGTTAAATACATTATACAGGGTAGGGCGAACTTTTCAATTGCATGGATTAGTCATGCTATGATAAGAATGTCTGGCTTATGAGCTTCGTTTGTATGCATGTGTGCTAATGAGGGTATAGGTATCGTTTTACGGGGGTATTGAACGAATAATTTTATAAATATTTTCAAAATGGTTTATAATGAAATAATGCTTAATGGAATAATGCTTTTGTATTCGTATAGTAGGTATTACGCAATGAAAATTTAGAATCTTAGGAAGGAATAGGTTGACTCATAGACTGATAAAAGTTATATTACTCACGTTGTTCCAAAACACGCCACAATAGTCGGGTGCTCCTTGAGGTGCTATCAGATTGATATCGAAACTCAAAGACTCGGTGCCATTTCCTAAAGCCATGCACGCTGGAGTCCTGGAAAGAGAAATTCGGATTTTATTGTACAGAGAATAAAAGTGATACTCCTGTGAACGTATTTTCCTTTGCCGGTCTTTGGAACTGAGATCAATGGGGAAGTATAAAGAGATTAGTCTACAAATCTAAATCCATGTCATTTACACTTATGGAACACTATAAATAGTTTATATTGGAGCAATAAATATAGTAATGATGTAGATGTCACAGATTAATGAATCTCAAGATCGAGGTTCAATTTTCAACTCGTCCTGGTTTACTACTGTATCTGGCATTTATTTATTGAAAATTGGAACGTTCTGTTATATGGGGAATATGCGTAATGACAAGCCATTCTTCATTAACGCATTGGCTGCCGTGTCGGACAATGTTGTCCGACGCTAGCGGAGGATTAGCCTTTAACAGTTTTTGTCTGCAGTTATAGGCTTAAAATAATCTATGTTTAATACTAGGTAGGTACCTCGATAAAACTGGATTTCACGATAACTCCCGTTATCGAGTTAGAGTTTGCACAAATGCTCACCTGAATTCTCTGGCATGTGTAACACCATTAAACGGCTGGTTGAACTGTATGTGGATTGCCATAACACCAGTCTTGCATGTCGCCGTAACCACTGGGGAGAACTCCCCCGTACTCTCCGCATTCTGTAGTCAAAGAAATTTAATTGTTAGGTAATTATGAAAGTAAAAATACAACACACTCATTTCGATGAATGGCATTTTAATGAAAGAAAATGAAAACTAAAGGTGAATATTTTTGCCGTAACTGACTTAGAAGATTCACGATTACTTCACACGTGATTTATGGATCATGAATAAAAATGATGCGCTTTCTTTAGTAATTTGTAAGGCAATGAGTGCATTTAATTTATCACTCACAACTTGTTCGATGTACCCATAAGGAGGTATATACAAGGACTTCCTGCAGCCATCGTTACCGTCAGGGTTGCCTTGTATGGTGCTGCACGCGATCGATCGGCATGTAGGTCCCACATTGTTTCTGTGATTTATACGTTCAGAATGACGACATGCTCCCAAGGATCGCCTGTACCATTAGCTTGACTTATTGGTAGAAAAAAGCAAAATCATATTCTACAGCTTCACCGTTAGACAATCATCTGTCTCGGTGTCAATTGTAATTACACCAGGAAATTATTTTCATGATGGTATATGACGGTCATTTGACAACTTAGTTTGCTCCCGGCAATCGATACTATGAGTTCTAAAGATGCAGGCGTAGAAATGAAGCTCGAATTTTGACCTCAAATACGCTCACAGCGCGGAGCTACATTAGTCGACAAATAAACCAACAAACCGTTACGACACGGGCACCACAATGTAAAATCTCCGACAACAAATCACTGCTCTTTGTATCGTGGACGGTTCGCGGCCTTACTGGCTGTAGGGCTGCCGAGTCTGCCGAGTACCGCGACCAGACCAACTGATCGTACGATACGGGAATGCCTTTCTGCTGTTGTCTTTTGTTTCACGTTGATAACCAACTATTCTTAACTTCTCGTTTAATCTCTAACAATTTTATGTCTCTTAACATAATATTTTAGGAATTGAATGCCGACAGTTTGGCGCTACATGACCATTACAAATAATGTAATTTCAGATAAATATTTCATAGAGCATTGATCACAGATGATCCAATTCAACTTCAATGTGATAAAACTGTATATCGCTCATATTTTTACACTTCAAACGTTTACTGGCTTTTTATTCCATCAGACAAGATTTATGATTCAGATCTTACGTGCACTTTTATTATCGTTCTTATATTTCTGCACACGTATGACGAGATATGAAAATAGTACAGGCGTGAAAAATATTAAGTTGTTATCCTTTGACGTTTAGTGTCGTACTAAAGCGATAAAAGTAGTGATATATATCCTACTTTTACCATATGCTTATTGGAGTTAATATGAGATATTATCAAGAGTATGAATATTAAACCCTCTTAGTTAAAGTTACTGTACTGGAAATAGCGTATAGAGCTCGCAGGGAGATGTATAACAAAACATTATTTGCATACTCGAGATAATGATCAATCTTAAAGAATGGAGGAAGTTACAAGGAAAGTCGCTTGACGACTCGGCCACATAAACCGACAGGCCATAAAGGGTCGCGCCCTTAGGGCGACGGGCGCGCACGATCGCATCCACACGACCCGGCTTGATAGCTTCCTAGAATCCATGCTAGTGCAGATTACTAGATTTAGAATCTAAATAAATTATGCATTATTTAACAATTGTCTTGTACCTACCGCACGGACCTTGAAGGAATTATTGTCAGTTTTTGCACTTGTCATGTTATAAATTATAGTGTGGTATGAAGTCATTACTGCGTGTGTCGTAGCGTGACTGAACGGTTTGATTTTCCTTCTTGTTTGCTAAATGCCGCAACATTAATTCCTTCTATTTGTGTATCAAATTGTATCTGCAGAGCCAAGTAAAGTTTTCCTTCCAAACTCATTTTGCTTGTAAAGTTTCTGCACTCCACGAATGGATGCTAGTTTTCCTGTGCAGTTTTCGAAATGCAATTTATCATTCACCGGAAATACAAGGACTTTTAGGACCTAAGGGCTTTCTCCTGAGATTTAAGAGGATGATTGCTTTGATTGCCATGGTCTGTAGACCTCACGATACGCCTCGACGACTCCATATTATTTAAAGGACATAAACTTAGCCATGGGTCGTAAGATTAGCAAAAAGCAAACAAGTGTAGGCACCAGTCAAGGTCAAAAACTGGTTGATAATGTAGATTGACAAGTTTGACGTTCCCAATACATCGGACATAATAACGAAATACCGTGAAATTGCGTCGTATAAGTAAGTAGTACTCGTGTTTTTTGTGTTTTGTGTTCGACACGGTTAGGACAAGAGTGAGACAAATTATTTGAGATATACTTGCTATGAATAGATGAACACGATTGACTTTAACAAAGTTGTTTATGTGACATTGAAATTATGTAGCTAGCTAGGTAATATTTTTGATCATCGTCTAACGAGTTTCCTTTAAAAAGCTCTAAAAGTGGTTATATGACGGATCATACAACGATCTTACAAACCACAAGTTACTACTTGTTTTACGTAGCAATATTGAAAGGTCTTGCTTAAAATATTTTCATAATGATTATGCAGTTTAATAAGTATACCGACGTTACTTATTAAACGAATTTATCGACTATAAGCTACGTAGTGGGCACCGTTACCGAGTTTTTGTTTATACCCTAATTAACTCGTCGAGTACCGGTTTTGTAGACACAATTATAGAACAATAGGTTGCGGTCACCGGTGACCGCTTGGTGTTTGACAGTTTAAAACTTTAAATGTGAGTTAAAGACAATACCTATAAACAAACAAGAATACGTAATTACAAGCATTAGACGAAGTGCATTACGTTGAGCGCCTTCACAACTGCAGCTAGAAATCTCTTGGTTTCCTGTTCTAGTCCGCAGAACGTGGTCGGATTTATTTTGCATTTATATTATTATGTCTTCATGGAGCGTGGTAAGTGTGTATGCAGATTTAATTGGAAATAAGCTTAGCGAGTGCAGTCCAAGATGCCAATGGTAGGTACTTGTAAAATATTGTCGACAATATTGTCAATGTGGACGTTGGCGGGCTCGAGGTCAATGAACGAGTGACCGCCGGGACTCGGGTCACTTCGCAACATCGGTTTCTTAAAAACACCGTGGAACAATACGCACCGCCTAATATTAGCTAGAAATTCTCCCTGATGCAATCTTTTGTTCGCGTTATGAATTCCATTGACCGGTCGAACGGGTGTTCTGTCCGTACATGGACTTTGCGACGAATGGGTTTACGTCATATATTTTTTCGAATTTTAACTTGCAGTAGACCAGCTAGGTATTTGTACCATTTGACCTATTCTGATTAAAATAGACTTAAACTACAAATTTTTAGTAGTATCATGTTAGTACTTACACGAAGCGGTAAACAGGTAAATGTAAGTTACACAGGTAGGTTCACCCAAAGTAATAAAGAATGTTGGAAATAAATTGACCACAAATAGCCCGTACTTACTCATTACTTTACTTTCATCAAAATAGGTGTGTCAGTCATCACATTAAAAAAAACCGCGTGCCATAATGCAATTAATGTTATTCACGATGCTATAGGCACGTGATAAATGAGTTAGCCGCAAGCAGATTCAATTACTAAGCCAATATTACTAGGCACACTTCTCATGCAGTTACTATCATTAGGCCTATAAACTTGGAGATAGTCTATGAGATGAGGAATGTAAGATTTTAGACCCGAAAGCATTTCAGGAATTTCAAATGATGCTACTTATGATATAAAAGTTGAATTCCCTTATATGTGTTTATTAAGGAACTTAAACCAAGCCATATTGAGTATTTATTAGATAGCTTGCTGTGGCAGTCTACCGAAGATGGCTTTATTATAATAAGTAGCCAGTGCAACGGGATTTCAAGCTCTACGGAAGATTTAAGTTCAGTTGTGGACGATGGCTGAGGTCAATCCGAGGGTGCCCATTCTTAACATTTTCAAGAACTCTTTTATTTGCATGAAAAACGGGGACAGACAGAAATATTGACAATTAATTTAACTTCCGATTTTTTTTAATGGGGCTATCCGCCACACCCTCCAAAACCCGCTGCAACTCCTGTAAGCCAAGATCTATAGTAGATAAAACACCCGAACACTGAAGTCCGGCGCGTCCCAGGGACATGAATAACTGTCTTTATTCCCACAACGAAGTGAATCAGAAGATATTATAAGAGGAGAACAAAAAAGAAACGATAGTTTTAATCTAACTTCAGATATTGTATCGTAGTTTATGGGAACAAACAGCATTCACTTTACAAAAGCTTTACCAGCTCCGAAAAACACTGCAGGTTTACGTTAATTCTGTGTATGTTACTCACAATGTTGTTATCAAAAAGCTTAACATCATGTGTTCAACGAGGCAACAAGCAATGATACGATAGAAATATAGAAAATAAAGGGAAAATAATTAATTTTAGCTCAAAGAAAGTAGTATCAAAAGCCACAAAGCTTTGTATAGGGTCGTTTAGTCTACATTCTATACACAATAGCCAAAAGTCTGAAGGCTATTTATCTTATACTTGCAATCAGTGTTAAATAATCGTTGCCCGCATTTCTTACTGATATTATGTAGTGTATACAGCAGGGCAGGGATGGTGAACCTTTATGTGCCATTTTTAGCGGAAACGTTTTGAGGTTCTAGGTCTAGATGAGTTATCAAATAATTTTGGTTTTTATACTAGGTAATATCTCCTTTATATAATCAAAAGAAATAAAACCTAAGGACCACGAATGGTCGGTTATAATATGCCTAACTACAACCGCAACACAAACATGGCAAGTGCATTTTGTGATTAGTGACATAACCAACATATCGTGCTGTGCCAAAGGTTTGCGATCTCTGCCCTATAGTATTTACTTCCAGTAATCTATCATCGTATTAATAAGCCTTTCGTCATGTGATCATTAGGTCAGTGTTTTATGTTCTAGTTGAGACATTCACATGAATATTTGACCTCTAGTTCGATAGTATCGTAACTATAAGTAGTGATTTAGTTGGATCAGATATCAAAACAACGAATTATTGAAACAAAATTTCGTCATTTT